TCAAACAATGCACACATCATTCTTAGGTCAAACATCAACATTTCATATTACATCACGCACAACCATCTCATATTACATATAGGCACAAAATTTCAAGTACAAAGTTTTAATTTCACATCTTCATCATAACTCACTCATTACTCATCCAAAATTTTTCCCTCTCATATACTTTCTATTTCTTAACTATTGTTATTGGTATTTCAAACCATTATCAAAATTAAACACTTGAGGGATAAAACAACACACCATTACAACTCACCACCACTTTTCCTCTCGTACTCACATCTTTTCATTTCCCCAACATTATCTTCACATTGTCTTCCACCACAATGTTTGTCACTACCATATTTAGCCATTTGTACCACAATTTTTGCTTCCAAGCCACAATACTATCAACATTTAATCAATAGCAAAAAAATATGCAAAAATAAAAAATGAATGCAAAAGAGGAAAATAATCTACTTGGATGTTGGAGGAGGAGGACCATGATGAAGAAAAAGGAAAGGAGACAAAACCTAAAACAAAAGTTTGGTGTTGAAAAATGCAAATTGCATTTTTTTAAATTTTAAAATACTTTTTATGTGGAGTGTCATTATACTCTATAAAAAGGTTGGAATCAATTACAAAGATAACCTTTTACAACACATTTTATAACAAATGTTGACTCATTCGACAAAGAAAGGGCTTTCTATGACAAGTGAGTCAACATCTGCCACAAAAAGTTTTTCCATATTTTAATCTTTGTTACTGTGCCACTTTCTATGTCATATGAATAACATCTGACATAAAATTTCCATCATAAAAAGTTCTTTTTGGACTAATGAGTTTTACTTTCTGATTGCAATTCTTGATTTAGTTTTTAAGAATTGTAAGATAATTATATGAATCATTTTTCTTTCTAATGGTTTGTTTTGCACTATTGTAAAGAAAAAAATTAATATGAAAGTTTTTACAAGTTAGTTTGTGCATAAACTAATTTTATCTTTTGGACAAACTAATTTCATTTTTTTTCCTATTTTCTTCTCCTGTAAGTACCTTTGAAGAAGTTTACCCAAACAAACTCATCATTGTATAAAATCCACCAAAAATTAGTTAAACAACTCACTACTTGCACTATCAATGATACACTTAAAGTGATAGATCTTAGGGCAACTTCAACTTAAATGTATAGTCATTGTCATTAGAGAACAACTTAAGTAGAGCAAACTTTAAAATGGATAGCTATAACAAGCAATTCAGTCTCATTTCAGTGTCTTAAGCCTTGATTTTGATTCTGCATGTGAGGTTGCCTATAAACATTTTAATTCTACAAGTAAGGTGACCTATAGCTCAGATTATAAGCAGTAGAATATTAGTCATTCTAGTTCCTGTCAGAATCGCCAACAAAATTAGCCTCCTCAACTACCTTGGTAAAGAAATTGCTATTTGACAATCCTTACTTTCATGACTTGTAGCTCCATATTGTTCATTCGTAGGTGGTGGAAGTGTAGACATATATTGAGCTTAGGCCTGCATCAAGGTTTCCAACTGTTTAGTAAGTGTTTCTAATTTTAGCTCCAAAGTTTTCCCTGCCTCAACTTGGTACATCCCAACAAACTTCTTGGTCACATGTTTATCACTTGAAGACTGATAGTTATTTGAATCCATATCAACTATCATTGTAAATGCATCCTCAAAGGACATTTTTAGCATGGTTCCCTTACACGCAACATCAATAATGAACATATTTTAGCAAGATAGCCCACTAGAGAATATTTGAACTAACCGTCTTAATTGGAAGTCGTGATGGAGGCACCTTTTTAACATATACTGAAATCCCTCCAAAGCCTAAAAAGGGACTTATGCTCAAATAGAGATAAGTTAATTAATGGTATCCTTCTAAAGCTTGTTTAGACTTGACTCATCAAAAATTTATTGATGCACTCTAAATTAATAAAAATAGAATGGAATACATTTTCAAATAGAGATATAATAAAATAAATTCCTAATCCAACTTGAAATTCCTTCTTCTAATACCATTTCTATCAGTCCCAATAATGGTACACTAAAATCTTGATATGCTAAAAAAACACTTAAAGGCAATTGTAGCCTATTGTAGCAATAATAAAGGACATGAGTCTAGCTAACAAACCAAAGAACTGACGAGCGATTACTAATCTCTTTACATTTTTATGTCGTCTATGGAATTTCTATTGTTTAAGGTTTAATCAACGAAAATTAACATACATTAGAAGATTGCAAACCAAACTCTAAAGAATGAAATAAAAATGCAATAGTGAACAAACTATATATGTGTTATGGTTCATTTGTGCTCTTAATCCTTTTATGCAATCAATTTTCCGTAAAAACCTGTGTTACATGTTCAATACTAGTGTTCCCTTACAATTTCTACACGTAAACAATGAACATGAATTACGATACTCTATTTTTTATTAAGTTCCTATTTGATCATTTAAGAAATTAGAATTGCATGCAAAACAAATGGATAAATAATTAACTAATTAATTTGATTTGAAACTAGGATCGAAGAAAGTTATTTTTGAGGGATAAAAAAAAACATTATTCTTAATTGGAATGAAATGATCCTATAAAAAAAATTGTCATGCAGTGATATATATACTATAGTAACACTAAAATATATGTTGTTGAATCTAATTCAAAATTAACATTAACATTACATATAAATATATGTCAAGTAAATATATACTTACATATATAATATCTTTAATAATATTTTTTTTTATATATCATTATATGTAATATTTATTATAATGTTGGTGAGATAACTAAGTACAATATTCTTAATCAAAGAGCTAATTAACTCAAGAGAAGAATGATTGTTGTGCAAATTTATAGTGGGATTGGATCAAAAGTTGTGTGACTGTGCGAATACTTTCATAAACTTCAAATACCTTGTTTACAAGTAATGACAATATGTAAGCATGCACACTATGACTATAACACATATATATACATCTGGTCTACGCATTGAAAATTGAGATTAGATAAATGAATTTCTTAACTACATTTATACGTGCAATTTTGGTAATTAAATATTCACTGACTTGTATTATTCTTATACATATTTATGTTTTTAATAAAAATGTCAAACAATGGACACATCACACTTGTATTGCATTGAAGAATATAAATATAGATTTCATGTATATGTTTATATTCTCGTTGAAAATTTTGGTAACATAAATTTCAATACACCTCAACGCAAAAGTAACAAAAGAGATGCTTCTACAAAATAGTTAAAAACACAACGATAACAACAAACAGTCAAACGTGCATTCATCATGATTGTTTGATAATTCTTACTAAAAGATTCAATCTCTAATCCAATTCAGATGAAACTTCATCTATATGTCTAATATTTTTTTTACTTCCTTCCACCCTTACCTCTTTGTTATTTATCCTTTCCTGACCACATAAATTGACCAGATTCAACCCTAATTGTTATATGACCCCATCCATCACTTCTGTTAACGATGTTAGCTGAAGATAAAAAATCGGTGCAACAAAATGAAGATTAACCAAAAATAAAAAAATAAAGAACTAAATCAAGTTTAAATTAAAATAAAAGATGAAATAATAATTTTGATTATATTTTAAAATATTTTTCTATTACAATTTCATATATTATGATTATATTACTAAACTATTATTTTAAAATTGTATTATTTCAATAATAAAATATGTAAATAACAAAACACATTTCATATAAGATTTATTTCATACATTGTCGGCGTAGATTTTTTTAACATTATCAATTAATCAAAATCATCTAGCTTAATTTTTAAAGTAATTATGTAAAAGTAAACAAATTTATTGTATATAACAAATTGAGAATTTATAGTTAGGTGACAATGTAAGAATTTTTTTCACATTGCAAGTACATAAATTATTTACTCAAATAGTAGTACACATTATACCATTACAAGAATTAAAAGAGAAAAAATTATACACAATATTAAAAAATATATATACATATATATATATATATATATATATATATATATAAATAAAAGTTAGTCCCCCACAATGTGATGAATTAAGGTGTTTGACTATCTTGAATAAAATTGTCTCTCAAAGAAGATACATGCAATATAAATATTTATATATATATATATATATATATATATATATATTCTATTTTATTTAACAAATTATAATATTCAAGTTTCAATACATAATTATATGAGTGATGAACTAAAAGTTATTAATTTAAGTTATTTGATATTTGTATTTCTTAATTAAAGATTATGATATGATCTTTAATTTAAATATAAAATTATATAAAAATAATAATACTTTATTCTTAAGCAGTCAAGAAAAAGTTATACATCTTTAATAGATAAAAAAAAAGTTATATAAGTGATGATATTAAAAATACGTTAATTATATTAAATATTACTGGTTCAAACAATATTGTCCAAGTAAAGGGTATTTATAATTTATAAAAAGAAATAATTATTATCATAATTAATAAATATAAAATAATATGAAAGAATTATTATAATTTTTTAAGCCTTCAAATAATTAATTATTTTAAATATAATTCTTAACATAATTATTATTGTGTAATATTTTGATTAAATTATTTAAATAATCATTATCAAATAAATAAATAATAAATAAATAAATAAAAAAAAAAAAGCTTGTTGATGATTGATGCATCAAAACGTTGACGATGAATTGAAGGGGTGTATAACTATAGTCTACTAGCAGTAGTGCGAGAAAGAAAAGTGTTTTGAAAGCAGACGCAGATAAAGAAGGAAAACAAAGTAGTAAATGACAATAATAAGAAGATACAAAAGGAAACGTGGCAAATCCGTAGTGGCGCAAAACAATGGATAACCATCGTCGGTTCTTTGACTTTGTATTCCTTTGAGAAATTGTTTTGTTACCAATATTCATCGTTCCACCAATGCTCTCTCTGTCCCTGTCGGTTTCTACACCATACGGATTCAAACTTTCAAACTATGCAAAGACTCAAAGCGCAAAACGACAAACGTGTGACTAAACACTCCTCCTCCACTCTCTCTTTCTCTTTCTCTTCTACTACTTCTCACCGTTTTCCTCGACAAGTGGAGTAGACGACACGAACTTGGACACAAAGTTTCACTCTCTCTCTCTCTCTTTCTGCACCATTCTTCAACCCAAGCCGCAACATAAACAAATATAATTTCACCGCCTTCGTTAACCCTCTTCATTACTACTAACAAATCAACCTCGCCACCTAATTTAGAAAAACCGAGTTAACTTCGGGAGAAGTAAATTAAAAATAAAAAATAAAAAATAAAGTACGGTGTGAAAACTGAAGCGTTTCCAGTGCGTGAGCGTGTGAACTTCTGAAGGTTTAAGGATGGGAGTAGTTCCGTTTTAAGGTTAATTTTGGTTCCATTATTGGAGCTGGTAGGTAGGTAGCGAGGTAAATGAGAGAAACGAGGTTAAATTAAATAAACAAAAGAAAAAAAGAATGCTCAGGTTGACCGGTGGATATTAGAGTAGTAGTAGTAGTAGAATAATAATAATAATAATAGAATAGAAACCCTAAAGAGAAAACAAAGCAAAGCATAGCAAAGCAAAAGTTTTATCTTATCTAACAAAAGTCTTGTTTGCTTGGTGAATAGAGTTTGGTTGTTGATATGGACAACGCTTCCACAGCTTCAGGGGACGCTAGCGTCTCTTCTTCCGGCAACCAAACAAAAGCCGCCACCAAGAAAAAACGAAACCTCCCTGGGATGCCGGGTAACCTAACCTAGTAATTAACCTCGATCAAATCAAACCAAAACGACAAACGCGCTTTAATTCAATTCAATTCAATTCAATTAATTTCTGTGGTTTTATTTATTTATATTTATTTAATTTTTATGGTCAGATCCGGAGGCAGAGGTGATTGCTCTGTCGCCGAAGACGCTGTTAGCGACGAACCGTTTCGTGTGCGAGATATGCAACAAGGGGTTCCAGAGGGACCAGAATCTGCAGCTTCACCGTCGCGGCCACAACTTGCCGTGGAAGCTGCGGCAGAGGTCGAGCAAGGAGGTGAGAAAACGAGTGTACGTGTGTCCCGAGCGCACGTGCGTGCACCACGACCCTTCTCGGGCCCTTGGGGACTTGACCGGGATCAAGAAGCACTTCTGCAGGAAGCACGGCGAGAAGAAGTGGAAATGCGACAAGTGCTCCAAGAAGTACGCGGTTCACTCCGATTGGAAGGCGCACTCCAAAGTCTGCGGCACCAGGGAGTATAAGTGCGATTGCGGAACCGTTTTCTCTAGGTTTTTCTTTTTCTCTCTTTCTTACTTATTTCTTCTCCACCATGTTTTCTTTCTTTCGCTTAAGCCTTGTTTGGATTTCAATTAGGAGGGATAGCTTCATCACGCATAGGGCGTTTTGCGATGCGTTGGCGGAGGAGAGTTCCAGATCTCACACTGTTGTCAAGCCGGATTCGGAGAATGAATCTAAGGTTTTAAATGGTGATTCGCCGCCGACGGAGGCGACGGTGGTGGCTTCTGCTAGTACTGCTCAGTCGAATAGTGTCGTGTCCTCTGGTTTGCAGACGCAGAACCTAGGTAGATTAGATAATTAATGACTTAATTAGGAAAGCGTGTGATGTTTTGTTTTGGCTTTTGTTTTTGTCGCGTGTGATGTGGTTAAAACGTAAAACTAGACAAAAAAATTATTAAAAAAAAATCAAACATGTGTTTGTTTTTGTTTGTTTTGTGAGGTTGGAGGTTAGTAGTTTTTGTCTGGTTTTGTTTTTGGGTGTGGCTTGTGTGTGATAAAAAGGATGGGGTGATCTGAGATTGTTAATTAAGTGATGAAAATAAAGAGGTTAAAAGGTGTTTATGGGGCTGTGGGATCTAAATTGTGCAATTGATGGCAAGGGAGGTTCAAAGATTATTCAAAGCTAAAAAGAGGAAAAGATTTGTGTTTTTTTTTTTGGGGGGGGGGTTGGGGGAAAGGGGGAGTGGGTTTCAATAGAGGAGAAACTATTATTTTGTTCTTTTCTTCTGAACTTTTAACTTAAAAAGAAAGGCACCAACTTTCTCAGTATGCGTTTTCAAGTGGCTGCTTTTGCTCTTCTTTCCTGCTACTACTATTAATTAATAATAGTTCATTATAATAATGTGCTGTTGCTGTTTTGCATGTTGTTGTTTCTGCTTTGCTTTTCTTTATTTTTGCTTCTGGTCATGTTTCAGAGTTGCCAGAAAATAATAATCCTATTGAGGAGCCAGAAGCTGTTACTACTACCTTAAGTGGGAGCTGTGGCAATAGCACCTGCTCAACCAGCAATGGCGGTGCTACCAGCAATAAAAGTAGCGTGTTTGCAAGTTTATTTGCTTCTTCAACACATTCTGGGACCCTACAATCTCAAACACCAGCATTCAATGACTTAATTAGAGCAACAGGGCGTGCAGATCACCCTGCAGCAGAAATCTCAGCTCCATCATCATCAGAGGCCATATCTCTTTGCCTCTCCACCACCAACGCCTCACCAATTTTCACGCCGCCGCCGATGCCACCGCCGGTCATGTCAGCCACGGCATTGCTGCAGAAGGCTGCTCAAATGGGTGCTACAGCCACAAACGCCTCTCTGCTTCGCAGCTTCGGCATCATGTCCTCATCTTCAGCTTCAGCCTCTTCAGATGGCCTACAATGGGGCCAGCAGCAAGTGGAACCTGAGAGTAGCTCTGGACTAAAGGAATTGATGATGGGAACAGCACCCTCAATGTTTGGTCCAAAACACACCACTCTTGATTTTCTAGGATTGGGGATGGCTGCGGGTGGCACTTCTGGTGGAGGCTTATCAGCACTCATCACATCTATTGGTGGTGGTTTGGATGTTACTGCAGCATTTGGTAATGGAGAATTTTCTGGCAAAGATATTGGAAGGAGCTCTTGATATTTTGGTCGCAAAAGGTTATCATATAAATGTTGTCTTTGTGTACAATATGTGTAATTGTTGCATTGCACAGGAATGTTAGTACTAGTAGCAATGTGCACATACTATGGAGCAATGCAACAAACAATGCGCAAATGATGGCCTTTTTGGATTGTGTTGCCCAAAAAGGACTGTGTTAGAAAACGGAAAGGTGGCACGTTCCTTCCAATTAGTGGCACAAGTTACAATTAGTGAGGGTGTTTGCATAGGGTTTGAAGTTTGATAGTATGTGGTTGTCGTAGTATTTGGCGACAGTAACATGTTTGAAGATACGTATTGTTTGGACTTCTCGGGCGTCGACACACATTTTTGATCAGATTTGAATTCCGTCGTTGGATGCTTTGGTCCGTGGCTGTTGGCATAAATCAGGAAAGTTTGATGTAGTTTTTCTTCAACTGTCGATTTATTGTAACGAGGTGGATTTCCACCTATGCCCCCATTGTTTTGTAGTTAATGGTGGATTGAATGCAAGTAGTGGTAAGTAATTAATGTTTTTATGTAAATGTCATAAAGAATTGTATTCCTTTTGGTAGTTAAAGATTTCTTCTTTTAAATACTATCTTTACGTGTTTTAGTCGTCAATTTTAACAAAAATGTTTTATTTACGAGTCATTTTCAAAGTTTAAAATAACATTGATTATTCTTAATAATTACTCCTTAAGTAAAAAAAAAAAAACAAATAATTCATATTAACTAAGAAAGTGAGTTAATCTTCACAAAATTAAAAGTGAGTTAATGTCATGTAATTACATTAATTCTATTTTAAAAAATAATTTAATAATTTTAGTTATCTTTTTAGTGTGAGGTTTCTTTCCAATTATGGATGGTATGTTTTTATTGATTAGGATTAAATTCTATTATGCATAATTGTTATGTGCAAAACTTGGAACAGTTTTATGGACTTCGTTATTGTTCTGCAAAGTACCATGACTGTTGAATTCTTATATGGTTATTTGTTATGTGAACAATCTAGTTAGTTATAAATGATCTCATATTCAATTCTAAAATAATTCTTGTTTTTGAAATGTCAAGTATGGTATAATTACGTTTATGGAGATGGTTAAGGGTCAGATTTTCCTCTTTCAATTATGATTTCTTTTCTTGGTTCAATCCTCTTAGTGTTTGTCTATCTTAATATGCACATTGGTTGTTAGCTTAAAGTCTCACTAGTTTGGTGTTACTTATTTGTGAGGATTGCTTTTTATCATCCCATTCTCTTGGTACTATAGTATCTGCAATATAGAAAGTTTGTTGTGTATAGGTTAATTAAGCTGCCTATTTTGAAGGATTTTTAGTTTTTGGTTGGCGTGGAATGTATTCACTGTTTTTGTTTTTGTTTTTGTTTTTGTTTTTGTTTTTGTTTTTTTTTAAAAAAAACTTTGTGTATATAGATTAAAATGTCCCTTGTACTCTTATTAATTTTATTTAGCTTATTAAAAAAAGTATAAAATAGATATACAAATTTCAATTAAATAATTAATATTTTGAAGATAACAGTATTAAATAGAGTAAATTTAATTAAAATTTATGTATATTTGAGTGAGACAAACATGTATCTTTGTTATTTATATTTAAAATCGGAGAAAATATATTTTTATTTTGCACCTTACTTTTATTAATTTACATATTTATAACTAGTATATATTTATTGTACAATAAAAAAGATATATTAAAATGTTTCAAAACTACTTTATGAATACTATGTTTCTTGGTATGTGCAAAAGAATATAAAAAACCTTACACGATAGATAAAAGGAAACTAAGGTAATAGCTCTGTTTAATTGCCGCTTTTTTAAGAGTCAGATTTTTGGAGAAATTTTATTCTTATTTATGTCATTTTCAACGCTTCAGGTAATATCAATTATTTTTTGTTAATTATTTATCGCTTAAATTTTAATTAATTTACGCTTTCAATATGAAAAAAATCTCTATTTATTATGGAGTATAAATAGGATAAAATTATAAAAGTAAAAAGCATTTTATTAAGGTAAAAAAAGTTATTAATTTTTTTGGTTAAAAATCAAATAAAAAGTAATAATTTCCATTTTAGAAGATAAAAAATACAGAATTTTTTTTATAAACTAAAATAAAATTTTGTTTATTTTGCCGAGACTAAAACCATTTTTAAATTTATATTTTACAATTTTTAATTATTATTAGTTTATATATTAAGATTTATTTTTTTTCTTCTCAAATTTCAATTCAACTACTTTTTAATTTTCTATATTAATTTTTTGGACTCAAAATTCATTTGTAGTTTCAAATTGATTAGTTTCCTTTCAGAAAATTAACATTTTTCCTAAAATCTATTTTTTTTATTTTAATATTTATTTATTTATGTTGAGTATGTATATTTTTCTTGTAATTTTAATTTTTTTTAATTTTATTCTTTTTAATTTTACTTAATCAAAATTACTAGTATAATAAACGTAATACTTGCTAATTACTTAATGAAGTAAGTATTAAATATTTTTAATTTTTAAAATTATAAATGCTTTTAATAGTTACATTTTTAATTTTTAACACATTAACTAAAATTTGTGTTTGTTCAATAATAGGAATATTGTGGAAAATATATTACTTGCATTCTTATATTTTATCAGTGTATATATATTTGAAAAAAACAACTAAGTATATATTAACAAATTTTGATACGAGATAAAGTTGGATGTTTTGATCCTTAATTTAGATATTTGAACGTCTGATACCTGGCACGAGTTGAAGACTCATAGTCGAACTTGGATTCTTAATAGTGTTTGTATTTTCGTTGTGTCACTTTTTCATTAATGTGAAAGAAAGAAAATATTGCATTGGTATTTAATGCCGAAAAAGAAAACGAATGCTTTCGAAAATAAGCAAGAAAATGAGTGTTCATATCGACCATTTTCAGGAGTACAAATTTTTATGAGGATAAAAATTAGGGACACTACTAATGTTGGGTTTTGTTTTATTATTTTTAAAATAAAATGGTAATTTCACTTCAATATTTTAAGTAATAAAAATTGATATGAAAATTTAAAGGTGAGATAAAAACGTTCTTTAATGGAAGAATAATACCTCAAAACCTCTAAAATACTATATTAAGTTTTAATAAAATATCTTATTAAAACTTTACTTATTTTATTATTATATTATTGGTTGGAGTTGATGTACATCTTACTTAATTTAAAATTATTATAACAAATGATTTGATATTTTTGTTCATTAACTAAAAACTAAGGTTTGATATTCAATTTTGACATTGAATATATTACTTTAAGTCTGGTGAAAGAGAGTTGTTTTTTTTGTTAGATAAAAAAGTAAAATTTGTTCAATATTTTAATAAATATTTATATCACATAAATATTAATTAATAAATAATAAAAATGACATCAATAATGTACTCTTTTTGTTCATTTGAGAATTTTTTTTATTTATCATTTTTACAGTTTAAGATTACATTAATCATTTTTTTTCAATTATACCCTTATCCCATCAATTACTTTACACATTATTTTATAAAATTCAATAATAACTAATGCAGAAGTTCAAATATAAATTGCTTAAGTATCATGTAATAGTTTAGTGGATAGATAAATTGAGAAAAGTTCCTCTTTCAACTTTAGAGAAAAAAATTAGTCCATTGAAGAAATCAAGACTTTATTTTAAAGATAGAAAATGAAGATAGAGGCATCGTAATAACCTTGCTAATACATGATAAATATGGTTGTTGAAGGAGTCACTCGAAGGAGTGATGGCCCCACGACGTGAATTGAGAGGGAATGAGCAGACCAGGTACAGCTTGCAAACGCTACCCCAGTTTGGGTCACAAGGATATGAGTTGTTTTGTCAGTGATCCACCATTTGGTAATGATCTCAGTCCTACTGTACTACATGTTGTGTGATGTCGTCATACATATTTATCAAAATCCTTTTCGTTCCTAACCTATGTGACACAAGATAATATACCCATATATATTAAACATGAATAATTATTTTATGTGATAATATTTTTTATAAAAATCTTAATGAGAAAGTTTTAGATTTTTTTTTATTAATAAAAGGATTAAGTAATTAACTCACGTAATAATCATATCATTATATCATATCACAATACATTTGTGGATTTACAAATAAGTTTAGATAACGTGTCACATTCACAAAAATTCAAGAGATATGCGTTATATTCACAAAAGTTGGATGATGTGAGTCACATTTATAAAAGATTAATATTAACGATATAATAAATGAATTTATAATCATATTATGAAAGAATCAATCAATACTAATTATAATATCTTTTATGATAATTAACATTTATGATATACAAATCATTGTCATTTCTATTTTTTAATTATAATAATTATATGATTAATATATATATATATATATATATAATTTGAAATTATATAATTAATTATATGAGTAAAATAATAAAAATACACACATGCAGAAATGCAATATATTTTTAATTAAGGTAATTTTAATTAATATTGTATAAATAATTTATGAAATAATCAATCAATATAACATCCTGATTTTCTAAAATAAAATAACAAGAATTGTTTTTAATAAAATTATATTATAAACTTAGTTATTTAATTATTTAAATTTATAATATAAATAATATTTTTATTAATTAAATAAAATAAGAAGGAAGTGAGAGAAAAGAAAGAAGAGTTTAGGTTAAACTGTGAATCTAATCCTAAGACTTAAAAAAAAATAACAAAGGGGTTAGGTTTTCATTATGCATAATGTTAGTCAAATAACCTCATATAACTTAAGAGGGCGGGTGAATTAAGTTTTCAAATTTTTTTCTTATAAAATTTTTTCAAATTACTTTCTTACAAATTCAATTCCTTATATAAATTTATATGTAAAGAATGAATGATGCAAAACTACTCTAACATAATTAAATAACAAGTAATTAAAAGTGTAGGAAAAGAAGAATGGCAAACTTAATTTTATCCTAGTTCGGTCAATCCTGCGTACATTCAGTCCTCAAGTCTCCACTTGAGATTTCCACTATTCTTGTAAATCTTACAAGACTTGAATCCTCCAATACCTTGGAACTCCCTTTTCTTGTGTTGAGATTCAAAAATCAACTAGGAGAAAAACCCTTTCTCCTTTACAGATCCAATGATCAATTTGGAATTACAGAATAACTCTCTTTTAAGAGTAGATATATATTACACCTTTTTGATCTTAATGAACTCTTTAGAATAATGCAAATGAAATTGGCCAAGAGTTTTTGTATATGACTTTTTCACATAGAGTTCATAACCTTCTTCTGAAAAATTATAGGTATTTGTAGACAATTATTTCTTAGGTTATGTCTTTTCATGAAGATTATAATTTTTTAGAAAAGATACTCTGGTAATCAATTACAAGACTTGATAATCGATTACAACGGTTTTTAAGTTCAAAATATTTGAAACGTATCATTTAAATTCAAATTTTGAAGTTTCATCTTTTGATAATCGATTACAATGACTGGTAATCGATCAACAGAGCACATTTTAACATTAAAACCTTGAACAAAGAAGTTTTCTTTCTTTGGTAATCAATTACATCAACTAG